CCCTAAAACGAACAGCATACATGTATTTAACCAAAGACACTAGTGTCTTTGATTAAACTAGGTCAGCAGAGCTGATTAACTGAATTTTGTAGAGAAACATAAACTGGATATACTAGGGACGTTATCAATTCACACCAACAGTCCCACCAATGGAAAGGTTTAAAAAGGGTGTGAACTTGGAGCCGGAAACGAGCCACCTTCGATGGGGGACACTGAAAAGTTCTGTTATTGGCCATTATTACATTGTAACTTTTTAGCGTCACAAACGGCATCACTGGATTTTTTTACCTGAAAAGTTGAAAACTAACTGAAATATTTGAATTCCCAAATGAAAAATCAGATATTCGATGCCAGGTTTTCCCTAAATTATTCAAACAAGTGATAACACTCATGAATTTTAAGAACCTTGCGAATAATTAGGTAAAATGTTTTTTCGACAAAGTTTCGCACCGCAAGATGACATCAAGGCTAATTATTGAATACATGTACATTGATTCTAGAGCTTCAGATAAACGATAGGTCAAACAATCCCTGTTTTAAAAAATAAAACTGTTCAAACAACACAAACATACTTTACTCGTGTAATTTGTTTTGAAGCTAAACTCGGAGCTGCGCTGTGAAGGCAAAGGGTTTTTAAAACCTACACAAGATTTCCAAAAAAACGAGCACAAGAAAACAAATACTTACATTGTACTTGTAATTTCTTTACAAGTGAAACGCAACTCTCTGAGTTTTTAGCTGGGAATTTAGCTTGAAAGCGAAGACTTTCTAAATATTTTGGAGCAATAATTCAACGACTTCGATCGCGTATGTTGCAATGTTGACGAACGCTACTCTACTGCATTGTGGGTAATACTGGGCCAAAGGTCACGATGTGCGTCGGTTTCCGATTTCAATTTGTAGGAACGAACGAACAAACAAACAAACAAACAACTAAATAAACGAATGCATGTCAGGAGTTGCATGACACATTGGTTTAAATAATTATTCATTTGCACAAACTAATATTCTTGAGCAATGAAAAACTTGTCTTTTCATAAAATCAT